TTAGAGAATATGTTTACATGGAGATCAACATCACACGGTGTTTTAAGTGGATACCCACCACACTTGAGCTCACTGTCATAGCAACAGGAGGAGGCTATGAAATTATTGTGGTAGTACAGTGTGTACTACAGCCAGCTTTATGCATTTATGATTTAATGCTGTGCCTTTACATGTGTTTACTTTCTCTCAATTGTGAATGGCATCATGTACATCTGTGTTTGGGTGTGTAAGTTTTCATAAACTTTTTAAAATAGATTTTGTATATTTTACAATAGTATATGATAAAACAGACTAGTATCTGCATTTATTTTATGCATTCATGATATACCTAATTTTTAAAAAATATTTCTAGGCTGTTTGGTTCATCTGCAAGTTCTTTCAAATTATTGCAAAGTCAAAAAATTTCCCAAAGTATTTTTTGAAAAAAGTCTGCCTATAAACGGACCTGCACAAGTCAATCCTCTGTTGTTCAAGGGTCAGCTGTATTTGGGAGTTGAATCCCACAGAACTTTAATTTAAAGATAAAGGCTTACAATTCATAGTAAAAAAAATTTAAAAGAAACAATATAAGGACCTCAAGGGAAATAATAAATGCCTTCTGTTCTAAAATAATCCTTGCAGTTGAATACTTATCCATCAGGACAAATTAAGAAATTTTCCTTTCTATACTGGACAGACCCAAATTCTAAAGTGTTGTTTGCTTTAGAATCCTCAAATAAAAGGGAAAAAGCCACCTGGAACTGTATTGCAAGGAAAATGGGAATGCTCACCAAATTCACTTCTCAGCATATCTCTTTGACTGAGAGTAGCAGAGAGCGGTCTCACAGGTGGCTCCACTGTCAGTGGAGGGGAGCATTCTCCACCACTCAAAAGGGATGTGCCAAAAGAGCCATTCTGGCTCAGAGGACCTAAACATGGCAGTGTCTTGTTACCATTTTAAGACAGCCTTTTTTTCTTAAGTTCTTGGTATTATTCATAGGGTATCATAACCATTACACACAGAATCACGAGTCATTCATATACATTTTACACCAGAAATAGATTTTTGCCCTTTAAGAGGTGCTCCCTTACCTCTCCGGGGATGGTTTTGTGTATTTGGTCTTCCTAGCATTGGTTTTACAATCACAGGTTCTTCTTGCAGCATTGCCATCTTTTGTGTTAATTCTAATAATCTTCAATGTAGAGAAAGAGTATTTAAGAAAGACTTAAATATGAAACAGAAACGAATTTCTTAAGATTTAACACTGAATACATAGGCATCAAAATCACATACTTGTGTCTCAAGTTGGTAGCTTCACTTTTCTCTTCAGCTATAGCTCTTTCTGCAGCACGAGCTTTGAGCTATTGAAGAAATACATTGAAATTAAGTTCTAGGAGATTATGCACCAAATAAAAGAAAGAAAAAAGAAATCTTACCCAGTTTTCATGAACTTTCTTCTCATGGGTAGCGATCTGAAAGAGATAATACATCATAAAATATGCTTGCAGATTCATTATAATAGCCTGTATTAATTATCAAAGAATTCTGGGCACTAAATAGGAGATGAGAATCATTACCTGGTTTTTAAATAACCACTCTGTTTTCTGTAATTCTTTTTCCATTTCTTCTATTCTCCGCCTAAGAATTACAATTGGCTTTATGAGTTAATGTACAACCAAATAAAAATCCAAACAATATAACTATGTTAACACTTACCCTAACAACTGTACCCTAACAGAGCTACTTTAACTGTTCCTAAATATGTTTCTCAAATAATCCTGTTATCTTCCACTATAAACATTTTTTTTCTTTTTTCATCCTTTAACTATATCATAAAAAAATTTCCCAAAGTTAGGACTACTGGGTCTATCAAATGGCAAAATCACTTTAATGGCTTTTTATACAACATATAACAAACTGCCCGCCTCCACGCCCCTACCCCCAGAACTGTTTGCATGAACCAAGTTCCCTTACAGTTTTGCCAGCACTGGGTGTTTGTTAATATTTTTCTATTTGTTAACTTAAAATTTAGTTTTCCTTTTGTGTGAATTTATGTATTCATGCCCTCTAACCATTTATGTATGCTTTTGTGCTAAAAAAAAAACAAAAACCTAGTTTCATTAGCCAGTGACACTGTCTTTAGAGGGTGAACTTACTTGTAAGTTTTTACTTCCTCTGCAGCTGAACCTGCCTTTTCATCAGCAGCTGATAGCCTCTGCTCTCTTTCTTGTCGCGCATACTCTTCTTGACTTAATTTCCTAAGATAAAACTGTTTGTCAGTGAAAGTATTTCTCTTTTCCTCCTGGCATTCTATCTGAATACTCTATTAAAATGTCACTTCCTATCCTATTCTTAAAAATGCACAGACTATACAAAGTCACAGGAAGGAATTCAAACTGTCCTTTAGGATAAAAATCCAGCTGTGGCCTGTTGATACATCACCTGCATTTTCTAATGTCTCATATTTCTTTCCTCACTAATAAGTAAATGTAATAAAAAAAAAAACTATGTGTCCCATCGGAAAGACTGTTGCTTTGAAATGATGAATGCTCACTTTTCTTCAATGTAGAAAGCCAGAACTGATCAACCTAACACAGTTAAGCTTATTAGGATAAAACAGAGGATAATTCTTCTCTTATTTTTAACCATGGAAAAAACACTAATTAATTTTCTTACGGGCTGTTTCTCAATCCAAGACTGGTGCCATGATAAAGACAGCCAATGAAAGGGCTTTTTAGAACATGCCTTCTAACTGTACAGCTAACCACAGAACATTTTCACGCTTCAGATATGGAGCTCCCCTACCTATTTCAAAGGAATTATGATTAAGCAGAGAGACATATCTGAGTATTACCAATGTCTGTTGAACAAAAAAGAATCCAAACTGTCCTGTAATCAGGGTGCTATGTACTGAAAATTGGCTTTAATCTGATAAATTTCAAGCTCAAGATGTCAGCATGCTGTAACACAAATTGTAAAGGCAGCAACATTTAATGGTTTAAAAATGCTACTTGTAGTTACCCTTGTACTTCTTTACTCATAGTTCTGATACAAAAGATACTTGGAACTTTTCTATGATTTGGAAACAAAAATAGAGAAGCTATAGTAAAAAAAGGTATTAACACCAAAGAGAAAAAGGTTTATGTATTCTTTTATAACTGCTCATTTCATATTTCAGCAAATATTTTGTGAGTGATTATAACATACTAGTTACCTTAGAAGAGGCTAAGGTAAAGGTTTGGGTATGGTAAGTACCACCTCTGCACTAAAAGAGCTCACAGCTGAATGTATAAAAGGTGCATATAAGAATAGAACAATCCGTCTCTGACTCTGGCTTAGGAGGGGATGTGTAAAAAACAAATCTTAAAGAATGATTCAAGAGAATTTTGATTCCAATAATGGATGAGTTAGTCTGCAAACACTGAAAATAAGAACATGTGGACAAAAATATAAAGAATGTGCTTGAAGGCATCAGAAAGCTGTGAAGAAAATTCAGTAGGAAAACGCACAGAATTATAAGTAAGTCTGGCATTTTAAGCCATTGTCCCCCAGGTTCATCCACATATTAAAGATAAGACAGACATATACGAAGGTTGAGAAGAACTTTCAACAGATCCCTGGGTTAAGAGAAACAAAAGGTGAGTTCAGGGTTGACAATGAGAAGGCCCCCGAGAAAAAGCCCTAGGCTTTGTGTTGAGACCAGAAAAGAGCTGCACACTTGGAGTACTAAACAGGCCATATGATATCCTTTAAACAGATTAAGCCATTTTTCAATGAACTTCATAGATAACTGGAACAAAGTGATGACCACCTGCTAGAGGTAATCTCAAATCTTTTCTGTAGGATGATGTCATCATCTGGGACCTCAAATTCCCCCTACAATTTTCCTAAACAAATTTCACCACTCCATCAGAACAAACCAGGCATTACATAAGACAAGACAATGTGATTGCAATCTAAAAACAAGAGAAACAGACTCATAAGGGATCCACATAATAGGATTACCACATAAATTTTAAAACAGTTGTGCCTTACATATTGAAGGAAGTAAAAGTCAAGATTATGAATTTCAGCAGAGGATCAGAAACTATAAAAGAAAAAAATAGTAAGTGAAAACAAAAAGAACTCAATTAATGATTACAGCAGATTAGATAACTGAGGTGAGATTTTAGCACACTGGAAGATAGGTCAGAAGAAAACATCCAAAATGAAGCAAATTCAGGATGTAGGAGTACTGGGAAAGGGATAGGGATGAGGGATCCTAGTATGTTTAATTGGATTCTCAGGACAAGAGAGAATGAAATGGAATTAATATGTGAAAAAAAGGCCCCAAATTAAAGAGATGTTTATAACCTCAAGCAGCATAAATGCAAAAGAAAAAGCAGGGGGGTAGGGGTGGAGGGATGATGACAAAACTCTACATGAGGCACCTCCCAATAAAATTGCTGAAAAAACAAAAAGAAAAACGACTAAAGGCAGCTAGGGAAGGCATGATGTATTTGAAAAAGAGAAAATAAGAATAATAATAGATTCCTCAAAGAAACTTTAAAACCAGAAGATAATTGGTTATCTTTAAAGTGCTGGTATTAAACAACTATCAAAATTCCATAACCAGTAGAAACATCCTTTTAAGTTTGGGCGCAGTGGCTCACACCTGTAATCCCAGCACTTTGGGAGCCTGAGGCAGGTGGATCACCTGAGGTCAGGAGTTCAAGACCAGTCTGAGCAACATGGAGAAACCACATCTCCACTAAAAACAAACAAACAAACAAAAACAACAACAAAAAAAATGAAATTAGCTGGGCGTGGTGGTGCATGCTTGTAATCCCATAATCCCAGCTACTCGGGAGGTTGAGGCAGGAGAATCGCTTGAACCTGGGAGACGGAGGTTGCGACGAAAGATCCTTTTAAAATAGAGTCAAAATAAAGATATTTTCATGCAAAAATAAACTCACTGAACCTGAATTAAGGTATATTCTTCAAATAAAATGACAGCGATCACAAATGGAAGACTGAAGATGCAGGAGAATAAAGTATGATAGTAAATATAAATATGTATGTAAATTGAGTATCAGCAGGATAGCACTGTAAAACAAAACATTTTGTGGAGTTTGAGCTATATAGAGCATTACAATACATTACCACAGTAACAGTTAAGTCAGGAGGAAGTTAAAGCCCAGAAAGAGGTAACTCCTTGGCCTGGTGCCTGGTGTGGGGGTTCACGCCTGTAGTCCCAGCTCTTTGGGAAGCTGAGGTGGGCGGATCATGAGGTCAAGAGATTGAGACCATTCTGGCCAACATGGTGAAACCCCATCTCTGAAACAAAATACATCTCTACTAAAAATACAAAAATTAGCCAGGCATGGTGGTGGGCGCCTGTAGTCCCAGCTACTTGAGGCAGGAGAATCGCTTGAACCCAGGAGGCAGAAGTTCCAGTAAGCCAAGGTTGTGCCACTGCACTCCAGCCTGCCGACAGAGAGAGACTCTGTCTCAAAACAAACAAACAAACAAACAACAACAACAAAAAAAAGGGTAACTCCTCTATGAAGAGGTAACTCCCTTATGTCAGACTTTGTAATAAGTCCAGGATACATACTGTGGCCTTTAAGTTAATTACAACAAGACAAGTAGAACAACTTGTAACCACCAAGCTTAAATAGAGAAGAGCAGAAGAATTTAAAATACTCTAACAAATCAAAAAAAGGAAAAAGGAACACAGAACAGGCATTCAAATAAAGAGCAGATATTAATATGTAGATTTAAACTCAAATATATTTTAGGAATTACATTTAAGAAGCAAATGAGTGCTCAGTCTGTGTAGCTACTTATTTATTTATGCTACTCACTCCAGAAAAGATTTTTAGGAGCATGAATGTGTGAGTAGGTCGGTGACTGCCAGGCAGAAACAATAAAGAATATTTTTACTGCAGAAAAAACAGCATACATAAAGACAAAGAAGTTTAGAGTGCCATGGAGGAGGGTTTGAGTGTCTACAGTTCAAGAAGCATCAGAAGAAACCACAGGAAGTGCACCTGGAGAGGCAGCTCAGGGATAGCTGAGGGGAAAGTGGCCTCTGTACCTCTTAACAAGTATGGAATTGACCCTCAAGGGAATGGAGCATATTTGATAGATTTTAACCACATAATGACATGGACAGACTTGTATTTTAGAAAGTTCACTCTAGCAGCTATAGAGACAATCAGAATTTGGAAGCAGAAGTATAAGAAAGACTGAAGGTAGATAGGTGATTAGCTAGGGGACTGGCATAAAAGATGACAAGGGCCTGAACACACACAGTGACTTTAGGGGTGGACAGCAGAGTACAAACCACACATGGGGATGGAAGAATGTGGTGGCACATGAATGGGTTAACTGGATCATGAAGGAAAACAGTTGCCATTTAAGTAATTCACATTACTACTGGAGGCAGAGACGTGCTCTTTTTAAAAAAGTAATGAAATGAGGAATGTCTCTCTGAAGCAGGACAGGCATTTAGAAGCTGGCCTGAGGAAAATCTGGAAAATCTAAACTGGCTGCTTGGTGAGCAAAGAATTAGACAAAAAATTAATGGTATAGTTTTAATGTTTAATGGCATACGGCAGTAGCAGACTAAGCATTTTAAAAGGTGAAATTTGCTTAGCAAGTGAGGTGTCCTCACACACTGCCATATACACCACAGAGAAAGATATAACAGCAAACACAAATAGTAACTGCCACAGACAATCTATTTTTAGAGAATTCAGATGTTTTTGTGGAGAAAAAACTTGAAATGAATTATAAAAATTTAGTTTTCAAGAGATACCTAGCTCAAAATTTGAGAAGCGTATTTCAGAAGATTAGTATCTAAATATACATACCAAATAGTTCTATATTCAAAACTCATCTTTGCCACAATTACATTTAGTCTGAATATTTGACTCTGTGA